ACCTAACATTCTGAAGTAACAAATATACATAATTTGATATTTATTATTATCAAATTGCTTTTCTCATAAAATAGTAGCAAAGACTATAGATTAGAGAAGAATTACTATTTTACCCTTTTCCCCCACAATAATCACATTTTAATCGAATATTTACATCTTCAATTTCAAAGGAGACAATATACAAAATTTGACATTTATTATTAATATTGTCAAATTGCTTTTCTCGTAAAACAATAGCAAAGAATAGAATTATTTTTCCCTCACAATAACCACATTTCAGTCTAACATTTACTCCTCAAATTTCGAAGGAGACAATATACAAAATTTGTCATTTATTGTTAATATTGTCAAATTGCTTTTCTCGTGAAATAATAGCGAAGAACGTAAATTAGGGAAAAATTGGAAGAGCTGTTATTTCACCCTTTTCCCCCCCCCATAACAGCCACATTACAGTCTATACGAACTAATTTGCAACACCGATAAGTTCCTCCAAGTGCTGTAACAGTAGCAGGAAGTTAATATCCTACAGGTTCATAAGCTTGTTTCGATCTCACCTTAGATAACACAACTACTATCTGTTTCCAACATCGTTCAGTAGCAGAGATAGGTTTACGGAGATTACAGGTAGCAAAAGTCCCTGAATTTATCAAGGAACATTAATGCAACAAAGTGGAAGCATCAACAAGTAGAACACGTAGCAATTTCTTCGAAAATATTGCAATTTATTACGTACACCACCGCTGAAAAGTTTAATCGCGTCCGTTAAAATGCAGTAAAACAGGAAGTAACTGTCCAAAAAAAAAAAAAGAATGAGAAAAAACTTTGAATTTGATAAACGGAGTATGAAATTTCATCGACTTGAATGAAATTAATTGAATTACATCGCACTTTTGCGTTGCGCGATTAAACTTGCGAACGGTACTGTACGATCTTTCGAATCGACAAACTAAAGCTTCACAGCTTTCGCTGAAAAATGGAAAACGTTCTTTGTAAATTGTAAATTGAAACATCGAACTAAATAAATCGTTCGTTTTCACTGATATTTCACTGGATCCTCCGCTTTCTAAATACCTCGTGGACCGTTTGAAATTGAGAAAAAAAAACAGGAGCAAAAGTAGAGAAAAAAGAAGATGGCGGAAGGATTGAAACACTCGCGGCCATATCTAACGAGGATAAATCAGTCCACAGAGGGATTTAGGGATCTGTTTGAATCACAAACGCCAATAGTTAATCGGGTATCGATCGACGTTTAATGATTTATGATCAGAAAAAAAGCGAGTCATCGGACGACGAGACCGTTCCCGAACCCTATTTTTCGTGTTTCTCGTGTTTGTTCGTTTTCGACGAGCCGCTTGGATACGAAATCGATTTTTTTGACAAACGACGTGGCGTTCTGTATTCGTGACGGCATCTCGATGAATCGCTGTTCGTTCGCAGCGAAACGTGTAATTATTTACCGAAAACGTTTCTACACGAGATATATGGATATATGTAAGTACTTACGTGCGTATTTGCTTACACTGGAATGCAAGAAAAATGGGTTCGAGTATTTGCTGAATTTTTTTTTCAAAATTTTTTACACTTAATTTTTCCGAACAAAATTCCTCAGAAAGTAACACATGTTCGTCGTTTGAATGGTTTATTTTTAACAAAGGAACGTTCCCAAGTGGTAATCACCGATATTAGTGAAACTTTGTTATACGGTGGCACTCGAAAAAATATTTGACACGTTTTCTTTTTTATCGACAGTCGTCTATATTGAAGGGGTGAAAATCGTCCTCAAAGGTTAGGGTAAGACACATATCTGGCCTAATATCTCGAAAGTTGTTCGAGAGAGAGAATTTAAATGACAGAATTTCAAAAACATTTTTTATTTTTGAAATTTTCTTGAAAAATACAAAATTCCTTAATTTACACTATTCCTCTAAGGGTGATTTTCGTGCACGATTGCCAACATAAAAAGATACGTGACAAATATTATTTTTGTGAACTACCATCTACCAAAGTTTCATCAAAATCGACGATTACCACTTGATGTTCCCCTGTAACTGACACGATTCCCAGAAATCTGCAGGAAATACTACGAACACGTATTTTTGTTGCTCTAAGATCGATTCTCTTGTACCATTTGTCACGATAATTCAAACTACTATGTGACACATATTAGATCATCTGGAAAAGTGTTCCAGCGCGGGCCGCAATGACAGACGCGACATTCTGTTCTACTTATTCGCAGTCGTGCGACCAGCAGCATGTGCACACATGCATACATGGAATTTCTAGTTATATAACTGAACGCTAGAAACTGTCGATAGAGGTTGACGAGGCAATATCCACTTCCTACTGTATCAATTGACCGTTAAGAACGCTCCTTGTCACGATGACTATCAATGAGTTGTTTATGGCGTCGTTCGTTCGACGATCGATAGGTTTGCTAAATGATTATCCGTAAGTATTCAGCTGAAAGTACGATCGGTGATTTCTTAACTGGAATTCTTGTCTTTTTTTTTTATCATATTAAAAATGTTACAAATGGTACTTTTATAAAAATTGTAAAAATTTGTCAAGTATTAGGAAAATTAAAATTAGGAATTAAGAATTGAAGTTTGGAAGTGACGTGGTGCAAATGATTATTCGCCAAGTGGGTAACAAAAAATATATTTATTTATTTAAACGTAATGCTTAAACTCATTTCAAATGTACTATGTGATGCGCGTGCAGAGAATGTCTGCGACAAAAGGCTTCGTGCCTTTTTCGGGGCTCCCCTAAGCAGCCCCTTTTCCCTGGGAAAGTCCCAGGAAGTTGGGGCGCGGGCCTGCATTGCCGAGGCAATACTCTTGTCCTCGAGGACGAAGAAACTCGGAGATGTTTGGAAAAACATCTCTCGATTCTTCGCCTCGAGGGCCAAGAGCCGCCAGGCCTTAAGTTCAGAATTTGTTCGTTATTGCAATGGTTTACGTTTGGGTTTTTATTAAACAAATTACAAGTTACATTAGTGAATATTCTACTTTTTTCTTTTTGAAGTTTTAAGCGTTAAAGGATTTAGTTATTTTATCTCGTAAGAAATTTTTATTGCTACAATTTGTACTTCACTTTTTAACAGATTATACCTTACAGCAGTGAACGTATGTATATGAGCTGTACAAGGTTAAATGTGATTTGTTTAATTGAAAATTGAGGGTTTTATAATTGCTTGGAATTTTAATGCCTTTTTGATACTGACCGCGTCAGCGGTGAATGATGCATGTATGTTTTGCGTTGGCGACATATGCGCATGATTTTCTAGCATATATACTACCGGCCAAAAGTTTCAAATCACCTCCCACTTTTCATCGATATTAAATCTGCTGCTAATTTTTTATAGATTTGAAGTTTGTCTCAATTCTACATTTATCAATTTATCTCATATCGATTGATTCGAATGATAAAAAATTCTCAAAGTCGCTGACTATTTTCTGGAAATTTTTGTGTAAATTGCAATGCTCGGTGATTCCAAACTTTTGGCCGGTAGTGTATATAACTCTACGTTGATGCAACATTTTTTGATAACATACTATTACGTTAATCCTTTCATGACTACGGTTTGAAAGTAGCTCAAGATCGTATTGTAAGATTGTTATTTTTCTTGTAATCAAGGTGAAGCGTAAAAATTTCTAAAATAATAACAACAATATTCTATTTTCTGACATTAATTGTAATATGAAAAATGATGTACGTTAATTTTTAAGTAATTTCCATTACACCGCTCTATTCCTTCTAATTTGTCGAGGTTAGGTTATTCACTTCTTCGTCTAAGTACGCAGGATGTTTCATAATTTGAAAAAAATATCTATCATTACAGGGCAGCCATCGTCCCGAACCCATTAGCTTTATTTTGTCATTCCTGAATGTACCAACTTCCTTATTATACCGCCATAAATATTGAATTAATATTCCCACGTTTATTATTACCACAATCTTGCATAAACCCACGAGCACAGAACAAAGTAGAACTAAGTAATAGTCAATTCATTCAACGCATACCAAGCAGCATTATTCTCGCTTATAATTGTTCGAAGAAATATATTGAGCTTGTACAGTTAACAGAGGTTAATTAACTACTTACATTATAGTAACAAAAACAAGAGGCTTAAGAGATTTGTGGTATTGCAAGAATTCCATGCCTCGTTTAAGATTGCACGAAGTATCTCAGTTAGAATTTCATTCCACGATCGCAGCAGATGGTTCAAAAATTGGTCGTCACATTCTTGGATGTGGAATTCCATTTCTCGAATAAATGCCTTACGTCTAAAACACTCTACGGTATTAATTGGTACGTTTGAAAGAACATTCTAGTGTAAAGGCTGAACAAAAACATTTCTTCTTTTCTTCAAATCTCTCACATTTCTTAAAAACACAATGTACCGCGTGTAAACAATTCTCGAACTCGAAAAGACTAGCGTTAATTAACATCGTATAAATAGCATTAACAACTATAGTTACATTGACACTTAAATTTGTTTCTTTTTATATTCAATGCACTCTCTTTTATATTTTTTTATTTATTCGGGCGATTAACGTATTTTTAAATTAATTGGCTTATTCGTGTAATTAAAGACACAAGGTGATAGTTATTGCGATCTAAACTTTTATTTACTTATTTACATCGTAACTAAAACCTAATGTTCCTGCGTATAGCTGCTAGTGTTCCTCCAGTTTACGGTATTTCCTTTTCGTTCTTGGAAATGTGAATATGAAAAACGAAAAATCCCTCAACAAATAAATCGTTATATTCTATGTATTGACTACTCAACGACGAATTAACTTTTTCAAAAATTCCAAACATAAAAGTACGCATCCTGCAACCTCGCTAGAACTTCGTCCAGCGCCTACACGCCTCTCCATCTCTCAACCTTGCGATACCGGGAGCGACGGAGTGGGGGAAGCCCGCTGCGCGGCGACCTTGACTCCGGGCAACATCGACCCAGACAGTAACCTAATCCAAGGGATTCTGTTCGCAGATCGACACGCGAGACAGTATCAGCTGCGCGAGCAACAGCAGCGACGCTCCTCGAGGACGGACCGCGTTTCATCAGCGTCGACTCATTACGACAGGGGCCGCGTCGAGACGAGAATATTGCCGCGGCGTAAATGCTGCGCGTAAAGGATCGGACCACGGTTGTTCCCAGACGAGAGCCGCAATAACCGAAAGTAATTTAACTGTCGAAGAAAGGCCGGTCTACGGCTCGCGCATAAATTATGTCAAGAGCTCCTCTCGCCAAAGGCGGAGAGGGCAGAGGCCGCTACCACCACCACCATTTCGTTCGGTCCTCTCTTTGATTAAGTCTAATTAAAGCGGATCGATTTCGCGCGGCTTACCAAAACGGCCTGCCGCTTCGATCCGACCAATCCGTGATTTAATAATTATTTCCTCCTTCGAGAACTATCCGCGTGATCTTTGCCTTTTAACCTCTTACGCGAATCGAGGAAGTCACATGGCGCGCGTTTCGAGCTGACATTCGGCTTTTTAAGGGAGCTGAGCTCGTGGAGAGTTCAACGTTTGTTGAATCGATTCGCGATGGATTATGTGAAAATCACCTTGCCTTTAATTTTTCTCTTTTTTTTTTTTGTAATGTAACAATTATGATATTTTTTTTCCCCGTGAGACGTTAATTAATATTAATTTTTCTTTAGCATTCATTGGAGCGTTCAACGAATACAGTTGAGTTTTGAATAGTGAAAACTTTTTTTTTTTGCAATATAACACGATATTTTTTTTTCTCGTGAAATATTTACTTTTCTTTGGTTCAGCATTCATTGGAGTATTTAACGAATACAATTGAGATATTAATTTTTCTTTAGTTCAGCACTCATTGAAGCACTTAACGAATTTAGTTGAGTTCTGAACAGTGAAATTTTAGTTACGTCGATCTAATTTACTACTGCAAAATTTAAATATCTTTTGATTAATAAATACTGGAATTTCTCGTCGCGATTAGTAGAGACCGATCATGTTCGCAAAAAGTAGCGCGCTGAAATTTTAATTAAAATCGTAATATCTTAATCGTTTTATTCCAACTTTCGAACGATCGGGAGGCTTCGTTGCAATTTTACCGAGTATCTCGAACGAAGTTCTGTTCTTTTTAACTGCACCATAGAAAATCCCATTATATTCAGCAAGTTTCAAATTACTCGTAAATTTCAACTTCCATTTTCCAATGTGTAAGTTTATCGGGTGACAAATTTTTACGGGATCCTATCAGCAATAAATGCGAACCTCTACTTTTATTTTTCATTTCGTTCACTTTCAACGTCGTACAATTTCTCTTTCATCAATTTCAAGATTAATCCGCAAAGATCACGAATCTACTGTACGTTCGTTACAGTTCTGCAACTGCCGTGCGACAAAATATCGCCAACTAACACTGCCTTCTTCGAATTACAAATATACTACCACTTATAAATATTTCTTCGCCAGATTTATTTTTTACTTAATCCAAAAAAAAAAAAAAAAAAATTTTAAAAAAAATTTCGTC